GTGATACGAATGTATTATATTTAGAGCTGTTAGTGGACTACAAGTCTACACTATATTCTAAAGCTAGATGAAAAGTACTCCAAACAAAACTGAGAAAACTTTTTACTTGAGACCATTGTCATTGCCATGGAATCATCAACGGCAGAAAGCAGTTCAAGGAGATATGCTTTGACGTATCTACAGTATAAGAAATTTATGTTAATATTGAGAAATCTTTAAAATACCAACTACAATTCCCGTAACAAATTAATCCACAGGTAAACATAATAAACCATTGGATAATACTTATCTGAAGAAGAATTTCACTGAAGAAAAAAAGAACAGAGGACTAAAAAGTTACCACAACCTAGCATATAAGTGTTCACGATCACTTATGACAGTCAGTGTTCAAGGAAACAAATACTCAACATTACCCACTACAAAGAAAAGGCTTGATGGTTTTTAGTAAGATCACTTGTAATGCGATTTTGGTGGCAACAAGTCTAAACTAAATTTAGAGCTTTTATCGGATTACAAATCTACACTATATTAGAAAGTCAGTTGAAAAGTATTCTGAAAAAAAACTAAGAAAACTTTTTTCTCGAGACCATTGTTATTGTCATGAGACCATCATGGCGGCCGAAAGTCGTTCAAGGGGGTACGCTCTGATGCATCTACAGTATAAAAAATTTAAGTCAATAATGAGAAATCTTTAGCATATCAACTACAATTCCTGTAACAAATTAGGCCACAGGTAAATATAATAAACCATTAGATAATAAATTGAGATTGTGTCAAGCTTTAAAGCTGCTTAAACAATGAACCAAATGCAAACATACTTCAGGATTTCAAAATTATCAAGGCCCGTTACCTTTTTGCATGTGGTTATTAATGGTTAATCTGAGTAAAATGGAGGGTAATCAACCAACATTTCATACAATATTTTCTCCAACGGCCACCTGTCCATGTGAAAGCAGGTACACATGAAACAAAAGAATACAAAAAATATATGAAATATAAAGTATTTGAAAAATAAGAAGGCAGATTTTGTTATATAATTATCACACTCATTTAATGTTTTGCAAGTCTTAATTGTTAGGCCAAAAGTATCCCGTCAAAGAAGAGTTGTATCTTATAAAGAAAAAATAAAAGCACCCTATAGTGGAGCTTCAAGACTAATAGATTGCAAGGCCAACAAAAATAGTTAAAAACTAATTCCATCCCATATCCTTTATTCAATAGCACTTCAAGAGCAACATAATCTGGTGTTCCCAATGTAGAAAATGCCTTATATACAGGAAAAGGAATGTAAGAATAGAAAGACCTTTTCTTAATAGCTATATGAGAAAATGAAACCAAGTGCAGTATTACTATTAACCATATGCCAATGCCCATCAGCAAGTATTATAATTTATGCCCAAGAGTCTTTAGGGTATGAACAGCCATGATCAGGTAATTTCAAATACCATATAAAGAACTATTTTAATGCAGACCAAGTTATGGTATTAAGTGGATACAAGAAGAGTTACATTACCAAATGAGGGATCTATATTTTCCAAAATTTAAAACATTCCTTTACATTTTAGTTTTCTATATTTCAAACATAAGCAAAATTCTACTCAAAAACATAATTTAGAACATATTATAGAATTGAAGACTATACTCCTTAGCATTCGTAAGATGATGGTATTGGAGTAATGGCATCCCAATTACTTATAATCAGGTGAACCTGTAGTCCAAAAGTGGTTTAGAATGCCTTGCTTGGGCAGTTCCACCATGGATGGTGAGCTTGAGGACCATACATGTTGTTTGGTTTTATGAAATAGCCTATCAGTTTAATCAAAAGTATTGGAGGATCGAATGATTAACGATCATGCATTATAATTGTGGTGATATGTATATGGTGTGTTATTATACATATTTTAAAGCTTGTTTATAACTTAACATGTTAATCGATAATGTAAATTATCTTAGTTACTAAAATTTTTATCTTACCCCATATTTTTTATTTTACAGGTTTTACTTTTGAGATTGAGCGAGGGAAGGAATCGAGCAAGGATTAGCTGAGTAGCTACACATACTGTAATGCCCGATTTTATTTTGAGTTATGTACATAAACTTAACGATATGATATTATATATTGCCAATTAGGAATGCATATCATTTTGATTGATTGCATTTGTATTATACCATGTTATGTTATATTTTAGCCTTATATTGTATAAGTGGTGAATGTTTGGTGATTTTTTGTGAATAGCTAAAATACTAGTATAAGTGTAAAGAATATTGTATATATGTAGTGATAATGTAAACTTAGTGGGTTATGTGATAATAAAGAGGCCAAATGATGTGTGTCTTATGATTTTGGTCATATTGGGTAAAACCAGCATTAAGTGGTCAAATTTTATGTTTGATGGATTGTCAATTAGGTATATATTAGTTCATTTGACTTGGCTTAAGTCTCAAAATAAATTAATGGTATAAGTTTTGAGTTTTGGGTACTTGGATACTTGAAAATTATTTTAAAATCTGACATTTTATATTCAAGTGGCTAAAATTCTCATATAGTGTCAGATTATAATGAAACTTGTACCATTAGTTAGCTATTGACTAAGCTTCATGCGGGCAATTGAATTACTTCAATCGAACATCAAATATGAAGATGGTGCACGTTTGAAGTTCGCCCTGAAAATCTATTATGACAACAACAGATAGTGACAAGCGCATCACAATATGTTGCATACAAGCCGTGACACACGACACAGAGGCTGAATTGGCCTTTCTATACCACAAGCCGTGGCTCATGGAGTGCCAGAATGCACTAAAATAATATTTTTGGCCTTGTTTTCAAATGTGTTGTTTCTTAAACTTTTCCATGCTTCCAATATGTTTAAAAATCATTAAGTTTGAGCTTAAATTATTTATTTGAATGGTTTTCATGGGATCCCAAATATTCTTAATTAATTTTAAATGTTTATTAGTTTTAATCCTTTTATGATTGTGGTGAGCTTAGGAGCAATCTAAAGCTCCTAATTATCATTTTTTATTGTGATTGTGTGGTGAATATTGGTAATATTAAGACAGACATTATATTGAAGACTCAAGGACTTCATTGTTATTTATATATTTCATGGGACTATGGTGTATTTAGCCTTATGCTATGGGATTTCAATGTTATTCTCCCTAAAAAAGTTTGTTTAACCTACTGATGAACTATAGATTTTATATATTTCATCCCATCATTTCCATGCATTTTAATGATGATTTTAGGCTAATTTGAATTTATTAGATATTATTTAGATTATTAGCCAATTTTGAGAAATAATATATTTTTGAATTAATTAAAGAAATTTTGAGCTTAAATTATCAATATTTTATTTTTGCTATTTTTAACATGATTTAATTTTGAAAATTTTTGATTGAGTTTAATTTGAATTATTATACATGATTTGAGTTTTTGACCATTTTGTGAAAAATTATGATTGCTAAAAAAATTAATTTTGAAATGTTTTATGAGACATGTGACATAATCTACATTAATAGATTCATATTGACTTTTCAAATTATGGAAGAACAATTAATAAAATTCAATAGTGAAGATTAATTCTTGAATTTCAAGAATCATTCAACGGTCAAGGCTTTAAGAGATAAGGAAGGAATTATCAAGGTTCATTAAGGGTACAACGAACATTTCCAACTAAGAAAAATTAAATAACTTTTACACTTTTCTTTTTATCTTTTTTTTTATTGGCTCTTTTCGAATTCAATAGTTGAGATATTTCTTAAACTTCTCACACACTCTTTTAGTCATTGGATTAATTTCCTTAATTCTACCACACAGCTGCCATCTGATCCATTAATGGGATAGTTATTTCCTCTCTTTTTTTGCTTCTAGTTTTCTACAAGATCATCCAACCACTTCATTTTTATATCAGGTCAAATTGAATGGGCACAGGCCAATATGAGTTTACCCACTAACATTAACAAGGGTGGGATAGGTTACAGTTATGTAAACGGGTTGTGCACCAACCCGCATGTGATAGCATTTTAATAGGTTGGGTTGGGCCAGCCTGCCAAAATAAATGGACTGGGAAAACCCAACCCACCCTGCACATTGGCGAGGTAGCAAGCCCGCGAACCAATCCGGAAAATGCAATTTTATTTTATAAAATAATTTAAAATTTATAATCAACATATCATATATACAGACAATAATTTTTTTCATATTATTTTTTAAAATAAAATGTGAATATAAATCTATATTATTTTTCTCAACAAATTTATATTTGTGATTTCAATCAATAGATCTTATAAGATTAATAAATAATATATATTCAGAATTTTTGTACAAAAACTAATAAATAATTGATTTACAAACTATAACAAAAATTTTATTTACAAATTATAAAAAAGATTTACATTATCTTTTAAATATAAAGAACATATTTGAAACTTATAAATTATATATTTAAAAAATATTATCATTATTGTATATTTATAAAAAAATATATTGTAATTAAAAAATAAATTATTTTTTTAAATAGGTCAGCTCACAGGCTAGCCTGTTTTAACATGTCATTCTAGCCTAACCCATTTTAAAAAATGAGCTAATTCTTTCAATTTAAACTATCAAAATTGATGGGTTGAATGGGCTGGCAAACTCAACTTATTTTTTGGACTTTAGCCTGTCTCAGCCTAAATAGTATTTTGGTATACTATTGCTTTTGTCATGTTCGCACCAATGGAAACTTGCATTTCGTTCTTTTTCGCGCATTTTAAACAACTATGCAATAAAAAATTATTTCAGAAATTGATTATAGCTGTAAGATAGGCTTCTAAAAGAAACAAAGGAATGTTACTGTAAGCCACGTCATACAAACTTGAGTTATTTTATGAAGGCGCATCATGTTTTACAGGATCACCACACAATGTCACAACCTTAATTTCATCAATTTTTATAAAAGATCATACCGCTCGTATGACGCAAGCTCTAATTTTTTTAAAGAATAAATATAATGATTCTGATATTTAAAAAATAAAAAATAAAATAGGGCATCAATGAGTTACATGCCTACATTGCCCAACATTGAGCATCTCAACATCCAATACAAGCCAAGAATCTCGAGGTATACTCGGATCAGCACGTTTATCTCCATAACTGTAACAACGAATACAAGGCTACTTAGGACAAACATTAATACACAGAAAAGTTTTATGAAAAGGTCAACCTTTCTAGGGGTTGGATTTCACATATTTAATCTTTCTCGGTTCAATTATAAATCAGAATTGCAGTTGAAATTGCAGGGCATCAATTCTAGAGATATCAAGAATTTTTAAGATGGCCAGAATTATTTAAATCCAATTATGGGGTCATAAATATAATGCCCTGTTTGTTTATGATCTGGCAAACAATTTTCAGCGGCAATAATACAAGGAAAATGAGACAAATTCATACCCCCAATTTGGTGGAATTGTGATTCTACTTTTGTCCCCAATTCTCATACCTGAAAAAAAATAATTAAAGTAAAATAATGTTGTGATAACTTCAAAAATTAATGGATCAATGATTTAATGGATGAATAATATATAACTCTCAGAAATTTTATGCCATGTATAAATAACCACCCTAACATTTGAAATTTTAAAATGAACCTCCTAATTTCTAACGTTCATGCAGACACTTCCCTACTATATTAGTTTTGTTGATTACTCATACGCATATAGCTAGCTTAAAGTACAATGGATTATCTACATATAATTGAAAATTTGAAAGGATTATTAATGCACATAAAAATTAAGTTTACAAGGGTATATAATTGATGGTTGGAGGTTATCTGCACATACTTGAAACCTATGAGGGTTAATTATCAAGTTTTAAAAGTTAAAAGGATTATTTATACCATGCATGCCCCAAAGTTCAAAAGTACTTCGTAAAATTTAAATTTCATTAATTAATTACACATTTCTCCTAAAATTTGTTGGATTCACACAAACTTCTATCATCTATTTTAGTTAAAACTGTATTTAAGTTCATATAAATTTAAAATTGGACTAAAATGTTATGTAACTTTTTTTGTTAAAAGGTAGATATGAGTTTATTTCAAAATACATTGGTTTATCAATTTCATCATAATTCAAGGAAAGTTAATATAATTTACCCCAAACCCCGGCGCTCCAACCGATAACTCCACTTACACCTGCAAATAAGAAAGAAATTGGGAGGGGAATGTGCGAGAAGATATATGTTTCACTTATTAATATAAATAAAATATATACCAGAGCAAAATGTAAAGGGTGCTCTTGCAATATTTGAGTAAAATATTTTTCCATTTTCCCGGAGCCTGCCAACATATCTAACACTGACCTGAAAGAAAACAAGATCACATGTTAGCTGAACACATTAGAAAAGTATGGGAAAAGAAGCCAAATACTCTAAAGAAAAATTATTACATTCTAGTTGTGATGTAACATGCATATATAAATTCATTGGCACTTAAAACCATTGTTGCTACGTGTGCAATACCAACAAAAAATGCCTATAGCCAGGGTCAAAGGTTATTCTTTTTTCTACAGTATGACAAGTTTAAATTACATTAAACTGTGCACCGGACTAGAGGCATTGCAGCAACTATGCATAAAGCAATAATCAATATAATCAATCACCTTTTTTCCAGCAGTAGCCCATAGTCCATCAGGTTTGCCCTTGGATATTTCCTCAATAACAAACGACCCTTGGGTTCTAATTTGAGTTGTCTTGGGTTCCATTTTGTCATCTTCTCCCTCAAAAGTGGATATATTAGCTGGAGAAGTTTGATTTGCATTGGTTGCCCCTTCAACCTTAGTCCTCGTCGTCGTCTTCTCATCCACAATTCTGTCCATAGGTACAAAGAATTTAAGGAAAAAGAAGATTACATACGAAAGTAAACTACATTAATTTTTAATGATTCAACATGCATCAAATCATAGGCTATCCAGTGTTTCTGGGTAGGAATACTTGAAGCATTTAATCTACAATGTCATTAATGAATTACTTAATAAAGGAGAGTTGATTACTGCAATATAGTCTAATTTCAAATTAAAGAGGATTCCCCTCGTAAGTGAAATTTGACATCTTATACAATTTTTTCCTTAAAATTTTAAAACATAAGGATATAGAATGAGAAAACCAAATCAAAGATCTTACTTTTTATTGGATACATTTCCTTCACAGTCATCTTCATCATGAGAAACAACATCCAAGCTTGGCGTTGTCTTCGCCTCCTCAGGATTCTCACCATCTGCTCTAGAATATCATGAGTCTCATTACTATTATATGGAACTTTGGCACTACCATACCTTGCCCTTCAAAGTTTTATTTGTCTAAAATATTTAGCATTGTTTATATAAATAATGATCAATTAATAATAATCAAAGTAACATTTCAAATTACCTCCGCTATTTGGGACAGTGAAAGGTGGAAAAGTGTCAAAATCACTATCATCAATGAAGCCATCTGCATATTCGTCTTCAGTATTGTACTCAGAAGACCCCTCTGCTTCTGCATCAGAAAAATCATCTCCAAAAATATCACTTTCACATTGTCAAAGGGAAACATGATACATAAATACGTACATACATACATACATACATATATATATAGAGAGAGAGAGAGAGAGAAACCAATGGAACTTCTTCATAAAGGATACTACTCATAGTCATCCCCTAGTTCATCCCCATTAGCAGGCTCAAAATAACCAGAGAGAAAAAAAACTAGCGTGGGTAAGTTCATCCCCATAGCCAATTAAAGTAACTAGCTAGTATGTGTGATGGATTTACAAAAACCTGGACTTATATATATATCTACACGTGTAAGTGCAAAAAGACCTAAGTGACATGAAGCTTCCCTTGCAATTATTCGCGTGATAAGGACATGGTTTTTCGGGTCTCACTTCGTTTCCCAAGGCTTAAAATGAGGATTGCAATTGAGAAAAGGTAAGTCTTGTGAACAAGAGATTAGAATCTACTATTATCGATAAGAAAAAGTCGAAATAAGGAAATCCCACTGTAAAATAAATCACTTTAAAAGAAACATTTATTACTAAAAAGGAGGGGATGCTGAGCCTGATAGAAATTCTCTCAAAGAATAACAAAACAAAAACTAGCCAAGAAAAACTGTAACCACCAAAAAAATGTAATAATAGTAATAGTAGTAATAATAATAGTGTGGTGGTGGTAGGAGCAACAATAATAGTAGTAAAAAATGCATAGTAAAAAATAAAAAACAATGTTAAAAAAAGAACATAATAGTATCGAAGTAGTTGTTAAATGTTATTGTAATGATAAATATAAAAATTGCTACATAAATCAAACAACTTTTAACATTACTTTCATTTTTTATTATTCTTTTAAGATATGAAATATTAGAAAATTACTTAAGTACGATTTTAATGTGTAAAGCTTGTTAATTAAAATATGATACACACACAAACACACAGACAGAAGGTTACTTTGGAATCGTGTACTTGTTATATCATCATCATTATTTGAAAAAATGGGTATATTTTTTTCTTTTAATCAATGGTGCTACATGCCGCATTCAAAGTAGTTACCAAAATTGTTGCTGGCAGATAGAGAAGTGGTCGTGCCTTATCTGATTCTTCCTCTTTTCTTTTTTTGGGATAGAAACTGGCAGATAGAGAAGTGGTCGTGCCTTATCTGATTCTTCCTCTTTTCTTTTTTTGGGATAGAAAGAGAAACTGCCAATAAAAACCGAGAGTGAGACTTCCTTTCATCAACTTCCACTTGAAAGAGTCATTTTATTAGTATATCAAAGATGCAAAAAAGAATCAGTTATCCTATGTATGTGCTAACTTAATTAGCTAATGTAGTTCCAACTTTTCAGCTTTTATTAATACTCATAATCACTTCATTCACAAAACTTCTTTCATAAATGTTTTCTAAATAACAACAGCCTTCTAGATATGATTATTTTATAGAATAAAGCAAATTTAAGGATTATGATTTTCTTATATGATAGTTAATCCAAAGTTATATATTTAAAAATAAATGTTGAGATTGTGGGGGTATAATAAATACTAGAAAATATTCCTTTGAGTTTGAAACTCAAATTTGAGAATTTTTGTGTTAAATAACATATTTATATGGTTGAGTTTATATTAGATTTGATATGTTGGGATAAATGTGTCTAACTATTATATGTTTATTTAAATTTTTCTAAGGCTATGTAATGGCTATATGAGGATTTAGATTAATTTTTGAATTTTTAATTTACTTTTGGACAACTTTTTGGAATATAGGTTGATAAAATTTTGATATTTGAAGTGATTTGAGACTTAAATATAGTTTATTAGAGTCATGGGAATTTTAGAAAGAATTTTTGAAAAAAATTAAAATGGATATTAACATTGATTTAGCACTAAGTGCGTTAGATCTAGACCCCCTAACTCTATAATGAGAGTTAATTGTTGTTGATAATTAAGAAATTAATATTTTATATATATAATTAAATGATTGTGTAGATTTTGTTGACCAAGGAAGTGGAGGAAGTAATGTTGTAAAAGGGAACGTGTTATTAAAGACACGAGGTAACTATTATTAATGTATAATAGTATATGTATGTGTGATTAATTATGTACTTGTTTTGTTTGACAATTTTTGATTTTTGTTGAGAAATAATATATGTGTATATTTTTGTCCAAAAATAATTACCAAGTGGGTTGGATTTATATATATATATATATATATATGAATATTTCGTAAATATTTTCACTGCTAAAAACATGAGATAAATTTTTTGGTTGATATAGAGAATGTGCTAAATGATTTTTGTTCACTTGTTATAAATGCATGACTTGTTGTAGTATATTGAAAAATTATTTAGTAAGAATTTTTGTTTAGTTGAATACCACGTGATAAGCCGCCATTGGACCCAATGAATGCTTGTAACTTGATCCAACTCACTTTTGGCTGAATGACTTGGCATCTAAACAATGCATAAGGAGAGATATAAGATTAATCATACAAATTAAATATTTGTTCTGTTTGTTTGGAAATAATTGTTTGGATAAGTATTTTGTTTGCCTACTTAGCAATCGTATGATTAACTGTTTCACGTGTATTATTACATATTAATCTTAGTTATTAAGACTATTAACTCTCATTCCCTATGGATATCAATTTTTATAGGAATAAATTCATCTAGAGAAATACTTAAGGCATAATTCGATATACGAGACATCATTTTTTGATTTATCCTCTTCATTTTAAGTTGATGATATATATTTTAAGTTGGTTATCCGACCATGATTTTAAAATTTTATATGGGGTGTACATTGGAAGTACTTAGTAAGTACTCCCTCCAGTCCTATTTATCAAATATTTTATAGAAGTATTTTTTGGTCCAAAATATAGAACACTTTAGAATAATTAAACTATTTTTTTTAATTTTACCCTTGCTTAATTAATGTGAAAGTATTTAATGCAATTGTATCATTATTTAAAGTCAAGACTAAAAATGAAAGTACATATAATTTTTTTATATCAAGAAAAAAAAAACTAACTTTTCTTAATGTGCATGAAACGGACCCAACTTCTTTTCATTTTTTCCTCTCTCCACTTTCTCTCCACTTTTCATCTCAACCGTTGGATTCATTTTTGAACTGTTGAGATTTAATGTTCCATAAAATTATTATTATATTCATTTTTTATAAAGTTTTACATTTTAATAATAATTTTATGGAATATCAAATCTCAACCGTTCAAAAATGAATCCAACAATTGAGATGGGAAGTGGAGAGGAAATGGAGAGGGGAGAAAATGGAGAGAAGCCAAGTTCGCTTGAAACAGTTGAAAGTATTTTATAATAAGAATCAAAGGGAGTATTCATTATAAAATGAAATTGTGTTCTACTAGGTACAATATGAAGTGATTGTCTTCTTAATTATCATGGTAAAATAAATTTATTATGTTTAATTATTTTTACTATCATAGTTTCTTTTTGTCATGGTAGTTTCTTTTTACTAAGGTAAACTATTTGTAAAATATTTTTATTATAGAAAAAACCCTTTTATTTATGGTTTATTAAACTATTAATTTGAAAAAAATAAGTTTGAAAATTTAGGATATTATAACTTATTAATATAATTATGAACAAATTCTCCAGGATTACATTATCCAAATGAATGGAGTTTAGTCTCCAAAAATGAGTACTCTGACTTCTACAGTGTCCTGGGATTAATCGTTGCCTATTTCCTTCTCGAGCTTCCAATCGACTCACCCAGCGTTCAGGTGACAAGAATTTACCACTTGTCAATTGCATCTTGACAGTCCCCAATTACGTGCATGTGAAAAATATCAACCTTGCGAAGATGCTGATTTATTTTTGGGTCTTAGGAAATATATTATTTTTCTTAATAAAGATTTTTTTAAGGAAATAAATATAAAATGATGCAAATATTGTGTATTAAATAATTTTCTCATAAACATTTTAGCCTATTTTAAATTTGATTTTTATTTTTTAATGAAAATCGTTAAGTATATAATTTATGTATAAATATGTATTATATTATTTTATGTTATGTTATATATCTTTTAATAAAAAACTATTTTGATAAAAAAAATTATTTTAAATTATTTAAATTAGAATTTTATTTTATAAATGTATAATGAAAAAAAAGATATGAATTTTATGCTAAATATTTTGAAGACTGATTTGATATGGTAGAGGTGGCTGCTTCGTTATCTGATTCACCAATAAATAGTTTTTCAATAATTAATTCATAGGAGTAGTTTTTTAATTTGAGATTGCTTTGCGTCTATTTGCCTATATCCTCTCTCCTTCACATCTTCAAAATAATAAGAAATATA